TGCAGGTTCCTTCCCTTATATCTTCTTCAACGTGCACTGCAGAATAACGCATTTCACATCATTCGCATAACTCAGTGACATGCATCTACACTGAAATTTACATAATTTTCAGGCCACTCCTTCTTGGTGTTGCATTTTCAGTGTTGGGTTGTGCTGTTTCAGTGTTGGGGTGCGTATGTATATAATTATAGGAAAAAAACAAACTTTTTGATAAAAGAAGATAATTCAATTTTTCTACAATTAACTTATAAAGTTGAATATCAACATCTCTAAAAAAGTTATTGCAAATACAATTTTTAATCAAATTACCTAAATTAAAAAGTATGCACCGAAACTCAACAATAACGTGATAACCATCTGCCTAATGAGAGGGATGGATTTTGCCTAAGGACAGAGATGAATTCATGGAGAACTTTCTAAGGAAAACTGGCTCATATCCACAATAACCATGGAGAAAACCCCAATAATATCCATGTGGCCAGCCCATTAAGCTGGAATTGAACTCAGATCAAAATAAGAGAGTTCAGGCACTTTATCGTTTGGCTACTGGTGGGCTTCCGCTTTGAATCGTAATCAATAGAAATGCTGCTGAGAATGATATTTGGTATGTGATGACAGAGAACAAACGCATGTAAATTCTCAACTTTAGAAGATGTAAAGCCTCAGCTTCCAACTCAGGGCAATGTGTTCCTTGCCTACGGTGCATTATAAAGACTGTCCCAGATTGATATTTAGCATAATGTAGGGGATGGTTCCATAGTTATGATGAAGGATGTTGTGTATCAAGTCAGTGACATCTTGCTTGTAGTGGTGCATCGACTAGGTTATTCCTCAGAGTCTCAAGTAAGTATTATTTACCCCCTATTAGCATGTACTAATGAATGTATAAACACTTAAGGAAGAACTTTCATTTAAACTTTACTATGTCAAGTAAATTGTTATATAACTGTATACATAAATCTAATTGTTAACCTGACAATGTTTATAAAGAGTGCTGAATTCCTAGTTTTAGCTAAATTCATTATTCAAATGCTTTTTATTATGATAGTATATCTTTCTAGAGAATTTAATGTAGCAGATGTTGACCTATGTATTTTTAACATGAACTTAAGGAAAATTAAAATTTGAATATTTGCTGATTTATATGGGTATGTGCTTACCTATCTATGACAGCTTAGCCTTAAGAATTCTGAATTTATCAAATCGAATGTGGATCTGATATATTTGTGAGAGTGAAGAGAAAGTCAAGGGAATCAAACTAATGTCTAATATTAAATAGTTCATTTATGTAAGAATCCCAAACCCATTTTTTAACCTCTAAGGATCATTATTCAAATTTTTTCTACACAGCATAGATTAGTAATAAAATATAGCTCTCATTTCTTTTCTTTTTTAAAAATATTTGAAACAAAGCTAATATTTTTAAGTGGTAAAAATTCTAAATACAATGAATCTGTTTTCCTAAAATTAAAATCAAATGACACATTTTAGTCTACAAGTTCATGATCAGAAAAAGTGACTAGAGGTTTTGTTTTCTTAAATACAGACCTAATATATGTACTTACAATGGAATGTTTGGAATAATGAAGATAAAATATAAATTTGTATTTGGCTCTATATCAGAAATCACAGAAAAATACTCATTAATATTTTACTGAGTTAAAAATGAAGTTCCATACATTCATGCACAAAATTTGTTTTGTAGATGTACTAGAGAATTAACCAATTAGATCACTTTTCAATACATATTTTACACCAAAAATAAATATTCCTTTAACTTTACTGAACAATTACCATAGAACAGCCCTTTGGGCGATTGTAGATTTCATACTGGGTGAAAAAGCAATACTTATTAAATTTATACATCTGTGAAGATTTTGCATGTAACTTTTGTTATACAGCTTGCTTTTGTGGACCTTCTTTTCTCTATGGGGGATGGTGTAAAAAATCACATTTTATATTTACAGAACTCTCTACTCCCCCCAATTGTTAAAACTATTCTCAAAATTATTTACCTAAGAAATCTGTAATTAGATATACATATCCAGGATCAATATTTAATGAAATAAAATCTTGTAGCCACCTTTTCTAAACTCCCTGCACAATAAATTAGAAAAGAAGGAAAGACATTGGTAGTGATGTAGTATGCGATCTACAGCTTTTAGTTAGATATTTACGTCTTATATGGTGCCACTAAATGATATTTTTAAATATGAAAATAAATACAAATAATTAAGTATACATAAATAAAAATGATTCATTAATTTAATAACCAATAAATTTTTTATTCCATTAAATTTAAATAGCTTCATAATTCAGTAATAACAGCTTCATAATTCAGTAATAACAGCTTTATGAAATAAAAAAATTCAATAGCGTAAAGAAATGAGGAATACGGTAAGCAACTTTAGTGCTCCCATCTAAAAGATAAATAACTATTTAAATATGGTAAACTGCATACTACATCATTACCAATATATCTTTAAGAATATACAGAAAGTGTATAAAACAACAATTTTTGAGAAAATTAAGCATAAATGAATCACAGTTTTAAAAAAGAGCAATTCAACTAAAATTTTAGGCAATGTTTAAATACAATGCAGGGAAAAAAATGACGAAGGAAAGAAATTATGTTTAAAACAAAACAGAAAGGTATGTTCCTACCTTTAAACTTACTAGTACAATTTACATGTGTACTAAAATCAGCCATTTAGAAACACCACACCCTTTTTAATGCTATTTTTATATGTTTTATTAACAATACACTATTAGTACAATTAATAACGGAGATCTGACATCATATATTACTATGATTACAGAATTTCTCTCTAACTATGTTATAGGTACACTATCATTTGCATCAAAATGAAAGACTACTGACAATGGCAAAATTCTGTTGCAAATACAGTCAAAAGTCGTTAATCCGGACTCGTCGGGACTTCGATGATTCCAGATTATCGATTTTTCCGGATTATAGATCATCAGTTTAAATCTCGTAAGATGGCACGCAGAAATTCTAAAATTAAAAATATGAAACCGTAATTTATGAAATAAAGAACAATTATGATCTAAAGGGTATCAAAATTTCCAAAAAGAAAAAGCTTAGTATTTATTTGTTTACTTTATTAAACATTTCTTTCAATGTAAGTTGTTTAAGTTTTGCTTCGTTTCATGTGATAATACTTTCTCTTAATTCTATTAAAACAGACATAAATTTCTTGTTCGGTTACAAAATTCCGCTGTTCAAGTCCTATAAATTGCTGTGTCGAGAACACCAAACTAATTTGTCAATCGAAATTTTTTCGTTTTCAATAACCTCTGTCACTTTCTTGCTATGGGAAGCGAATTATAATGACGAGGAACTTGTTTTAAATCATATCAAAGACGGAGCATATCGAGATGAAATACTACATTTGGTAAGGAATTATAAGCCAAATAAAATAAAAACATCTGCGCTGAAGATAAGGATAGTGCTGACAGATCAACTTCCAATTCATTACACGCCCGCCACCGCGTTCCCCCGGCCGAGCAGCATGAAATTGATAAACAGATTTCGGATTTCAAAACATACTTTCGCTTTAGATCCTTTACATATTAGCAAATATATATCGGAAATTCTGTTTGATATAATCGAAAGTTTAAGCTTACTTTTATAAAATTGCTCTTACAGTCTGCAAAAAATAATAAGCCGGATCCAATTCGAAAATTAAGGAACAACGCAATCATCAACATTAACTGAAATAGATAATTAGATAATTTTAGCTTATACGTCCATTATACATAAAACGTGCACGCGAAAACGTATTCTGCACTTGCGCACACTCATATGCGCAGTCGTAAAAGGTCTTACGCACACGCGTAAACGCCTATGCGTATTTGTCAACGCGGCGCATGCGCAGAAAGTTTTTAGTTTTGAGGTCCGGATTATAGATCATTCCGAATTATGGGTGTCCGAATTAACGACTTTTTACTGTATAGATGAAAATTGTCTATATGTTTCCTTCCCCTTTTTTGTAAAGTTTTGAGTAAAATACAGAGGTACTATTTTACATATGAAATAAGAGAAGCAAATGTTTATGATTTCCCATCAATTTGTATTTCAGCACAGCTCCCAAAATTCAGAATTTACGATTCCTGCACACTTTACATATTACATTTTCAGGAACCAATGTTTTGCACATCAGTGCATGACTCCATATAACTATTTAGATATTAAGCTGAAATTTACAGAATCAAATTAAAACTATAATAAATAACATATCAATAAAAACCACACATACCGCATTTCCTCGCATAATTTTCCCACTAGCTTTTTAGCGTCAGGCTCTGAAAATATTAAAAATATTCACGAAATTTTCCCCTTCCTCAATACGTTGACAGGACTTCTCCTAAATTTTAAAATGGATTAATCTATATGGTGATTATTATCAGCTTACTAACAGAGACAAGCCCTCACAAACTATCTGTAAAGGTCATGCTCAACTTTTCCCTTCTAAGTGTTGGTTTTATGCCAGCCTAACACAAGAACCGACCAATGACAGTGAAGCAAACACAAACTGATATTCGATCTTCAGCTTCACATTCATGTTCCCTTAATTATTTATGGATAATTCGAGGCCTAAGGAGTAGCAGAGACAACAGTATGAATGGGCAAGATTCAAGTTACATGGAAGTAGAAATGAAGATATCTTATTAGATACTGTAATGTTAATAGTATTACATATATATTGTAATGTTAAAAATACTACTTCACATAGATATACATAGATTCTTATAGATATTGTAATGTTGATAGTATTCACATATTCTTGTAGGAATGGAGGTTTCTTTTAAAGAAAAAATTTTGTAATGGTTACCTGTAATATTCACATAATTTTCTCTTCTTGATTTTCAGATGATAAAATTAGTATACAAAGGGGGAAATAAATGGGGAAATACGGTATTTCAAATACAGATTATGAAAAATAAAATAAAAGATTGAGGTTGAGATAAACACTTACCTAATGATGTGATAGTGTTATATGGGGAATTTACAGGTGAGTAACGAAGGATGGACTTCTTGGGTGATGTGGGGTTTGCGACTGAGGAGGGTGGGGGAGAACACTTTGGGGAAGGCTATTAAAGAGAAAGAAACATTAAAATTCAATAAATCATAAAAAAATAATTTACATTCATTCAATGAAGTTGTTACAAATATTTAAAATAATTTATTGCCATTTTTGAATTTTAAAACTAAAAAGTCAGGCTTGCCAGGCCTTAATTAAAATATCTCTTATTAAACATTTCTTCTGTTTAAGAAAATTTCTCAAACTTCATTCAATGAATCTTTCAGTAACACAGAAAACAATGTATTTAATTACCTATAGACTCTTGGCCAGGATAAGGATTGCTCTGAAATAATAATTTACATATTATTCTTTATCTACTGAAGTAATGAAGTATTCTGACAAAGCTCATACTAAGAAATTTTTAGAGAAGCAAACCTCATCTTGCGAAGTTCAAAAATTATATTGCAATATTATATTTCTGAGGTGATTTTTAAAGATCTGTAATTAGTACTCACTGCTTATCCTATCTACCAGTTTTTAAAAAATACGATAATTTTTCAAGTTAATCAATATTATTTTCTGCAGTCAATGAACTTGATTATTTATATACCTTCTATTTTATGCGGAGCATATTCAGACTAATAAATTACTTTAAAATTTCATCTAAGGTCACGTAAAACATATAATACATTCAAATTTTAGGCAATCTACATAAAATGTATGCTTTCAAAATTAAAAATTAAATATCATGTAACAGATCTGATATTTAGCTAAAATTATAGTTTCCTTCTTTTAGTGTTTAAATCAGCGCAGCTCCATAGTATAGATGAAAACATGAATTAGGCAAAACAGAACTTAAGATTTATGTTAGTTTTAAACAAAAACAGTATATTTGAATAAAAGTGGCAATTAACACTTTTTTGCATGCTTCTCTTCAATATACTAAAGAAAACTATATTAAAAACAAGCTTTTATATATAACAAAAATAAAATAAAATGACATATTTGTTTCTGAAAATTAAATTTCAATAAATTATGGTAAAAATAATTACTGAAATCTTATCAAAATATTAAAATTTTTTTTTATATATCTTAGAATGAACACTGCTAATAATGTTCCAAGATTCAAAATACTCTCATTAAATAGGATGAAAAATGCTTAGAAATGCTCATTACCATCTCATCATTGCACAAAAAAACTTCAACAAGAAATTCTTTGATGTTGCCATCTTTAAATAGATAAAGCAATGCGGGGAAAAAAAAAAAAAAAAAAAAAGCTGACAAACATTTAATATTAAGAATGGAAAATCTAAGAATAAAACAGGAATGAAATAACATTTAGTAATTCACACACTGTTATCACATTTAATATTTTGCACGGAATTATGCAATTCAAATACATCCATTAAACCTATGAGCAAAATATACATTTAACTAATTTGGTTCTGGAGGGTTAAGTTCTTATGAATGCTTAAAGTAATCCAGATTATAAGCCAAAACAGAAAACTTAAGTTACTCAGCAAATGTTAAGAGGATACAATCTTAAAAAAACTGTTAGTTTAAATAGTAAAAGAAAATATTCTGCAAGGATACAAAAGACTCTAATTTATACCATAAATAAAATATATAAATTTGTGAAGGATAAAGTGGTGTAACTTCACTTTCTAACGGATTTACCAATTTGGGGTGCAGTTACAAGCTCTTTAAGTAAAAGAACCAGACAAAGAAAAAACTCAAATTTTATAATGAATAAAAAATAAAAGGAAGCTGAGGAATAAACCAAGAATTCCTCTGAAATGAATATAAAAAGTGATTAAATAAACTGCTATTACTCCTTTTAAAATGCATTCAGTTCATTAAAATTTTTCTCACAAAGCTTCAAAATTCTGCTTTCATTATCTTCTGTTGACACCCAACTTGAAAGAACTGTGAAACTTTATATTAAATATTAAGAATAAAGGGAGAAAATATTTTAAAGGTGCTAAGCAATTTCTCTGTGATTAATACTGCAATGTCTTCTACTGAAATAAGTTGGATAATTGTATATGCAATATTAATAAAAGAATAAACATCTGATAAGAACATAAAAAACTATAAATAATGAAATAATATTAGTGCACAGCAGTTTTGTAACATACATATGCAAATTTTGTATATCAGATTTTTATTGTGATTACATATCTATATAAAAATTATGAATAATGCTAATGTATAATTCTTTTTAACATATCATCATCATTAGCTTCTAGTTTTAAAGGGATATTTTTCTCATCTATCTCAATAAGCAAAGTGTTCCACATAAAAACTACCCATCCTTTATTTTTATGCACATTTAAAGAGAAAAAAATGATCCAAAGAACCAAAAATAGCAGTCATGCAGGTTTTGCTTTTTTTCCAGTGTTACTTGCTACGTTTTTTAGTATTGTGGTTGGATAGCTTTCAAAGCTTTTAAATATCTTTTCCAAAATTTGATGTTTGAAATTGTAAGCTTTTTCTTTAAGGTCAACTAAAAGTACTAGAGCAGTAATTCTCAATTTTTTCCCCTATACACCCTTCCACCCTTGCTACTTTCCAGAACTCAAAAAATACATACACATTAATGTAATTCATATTATTTTTTAATGTACTTTATAAATTAAAAAAGAAAAAGCACAGAAAATGTCGATAAATGACAAAACTTGAATAAAATTCATTTTCTATATTCATAAATTAAAACTAAATACTTAACAGTTACCCCTGATCCCAACTATTATGAACTATTCTATTGTTAGTACAAAAGCCACAAAAATGCAGCTACAAAAACTACATAAAGCTATATTGATCATTGAGATATATCCTATTCAACAAAGAATCATGATAGTGCAGATTCATAGGATGGTTTTTCATGCATCATTCTATATTCTTCTGCAGTACTGGTTACTCAGAGAAAAAAAAAAAAAAATTCTTTGCTGTTATACTGCATACCAACAATTTTCAGAATACAAGTGGGAATTTTCAATTCTACTGGACAATTGTTTTGCCTAGTTATGAAGATGCTCTAATTATTTGATTTGCTAATAAACTCTTCTCTAAAATTTGGGCCAGAAAATCTTTTCTGTTGTTTTTATTATTTACTCACAGTTAAGTTGCCAGGTATTGGACAAGTCCACTCCAGAAAGAAGCAGGGTATGCTAATACAGATAATTCACACTTTACGGAATGCTAATCTATAGGTTGTATTTTATACAGAACATCTTGAATTATTCTTTTTGGGAAGTTTTTCTATTCATATAATTCCTAGGCATTCATTCTATATGCAATTTTTGTCTCATTGCTTATTTTTGTTTAAATTAAAAATATTCTGTACCTGAGGCTTTCACTTCATATATGACCTAACTATGTACAATTTCAAAATCTTATATATTGGGTCAGTTTATAAATTCATGTGCATTTTTTGGTAAATTTTTAAATAATATAAAAAAACACAGTTTAACATTTTAATTAATTATATATTTTCCTCCGTTATCTACAATGTCTCGCCATCTTACAGAAAGCATTTTTATGCCATTGCTGTAGAAAGACTCTGGTTTTGATGCAAAAAAAAAAACTTGAAAACTCATTGTGTACAACCTTTTTTGAATTTAATTTTTTTCCCAGTAAAAAATTTTGTAAGGCATGAAATAAGTGAAAAATCACTTGGGGCAATATCTCAGGAGTAAGCAGGATGTGGCAAAAGCTCCGAATTAAATTCACTAATTTTTCACATCGTTGTTCGAGCCGTATGCGGTCTAGCGTTATCATGATGAAACAACACTTTCTTGATATTGACTAATCGTGGGCATGTTTTGATCAATTCTGAGTTTAGATGGCAAAGTTGTTCACTATAAACTTCTGAATTAATCGTTTGATTTGGTTCCAATAATTCAAACCGTCCTGAATGGGGTTCATCATCAAAGCTGCTTTTACCATCTTTAAACTTTTTAAACCATTTCTGGGCAGTCCTTACACTAATAGTGCGTTCACCATGTACACTATTAATTTTTATCACTACAAACCTGGCAGATTCACCACACAAAATTAAAAAATGTAGTACAGCACGTTTGTACTGATTATCTATATTCATCTTCTATGGGTACTAAACTGCATTCGATATTTACGAAAGTTGGTGATGAACTGAATAATATGTTAGTCAAACGATGACAAGTTTCAACAAGTTCAAAATTGTATTGTTTTAGTAAATGCGTTATAGTGAATTCCACGCATACTCTTAATGCGCACGAACTTATGGACTGACCCGATATTTACAGTCCTCCCCAATTTATATTATTCACTTTGCGCTATTAACCTGCATACTAAATATAAATGTTCCAAAGGAGGAAAAATGAAAGAACAAACACATAATTTCAGTATAACCATAATTTACTCAAATGACTAAATGATTTTTAGAAGAAAAGATTTTAGCTTTTGGAAAGTTTAATTAAGCAAATTTTAGTAACCTAAAAAAGCTTTAAAAATGTTTAAAATGCAAGAATTTATTTTTGTGAAAAAATAAAGTAAAATTATCTAGTTTAATTAAATGTCTAATAATCAAACATGACAAGAAACAGATGTGTTAGAAACCATATATTATTGATGGCGACACAGAATAATTTTTGTTTCATCTCAATAAGTTCAATATGCATATTTAAGATTAGGTTATTTAAAATATTATTATTAATAAAATGTTATTATTATTAAAATAATTAGAATAAATTATAATAATCCCATGTTTAAAATTATTCTATTCTACTACAGTTAATTTTTATACTAATTTTATGATAATTATTACAATTTATATATTTCTTTATAATAAGTGAGAAAATAAAATTTTGAGACATTAGTTTTATTTTCCAATGAAATGCAGTAAAAGACTATCTGAACACAAAACTTACTCTTGTGCTACTGACAACTGGTACAACTTCAAAACGAGATAATTTCTTTTCGGCTCTTGGAGTTTTTGGGGATTCGGTTAGTTGAGCTCTTTTTGCAGCTTCTTGTAACCTACGTTCTCGCCCTACTTGCAATTCTAGAAGTCGCAGCAATTCAATTCTTTGAATAGATCCCAATAAGATCATAGATTCTAATATTTAAAAGAAGGTGAAGAATTACTATTTTAAATCATGTAACCATGTAATGTAAGTATTCAATACTTAACCAGAGTGGCAAGAAATAGCTTGGATATAAGTCTGGAAAGAAATAGAATATATCTATTCTTAAGATTTTAAACCTGTTTGGGTAAAGTATGAATATTTTTATCTTACCAAAACTCTTAAGTATTTTTTCAATCTCATGGTAAGGAAACAAACAGCAAATTTAGAATTGCATATGCAAGGAAAGATGAACAATCTAAAACTGACTTTTTCGAAGTTTTAAAATTCAGAAAACTCTGGCGACCCTGCATGTAAAACAGTTCTTCAATTTTACAAAGTGACATCGACACTTTAATACATATTCATTTTGTTGCATTGAAGTTTCAAGGATAGGAAAATTAGGATATTTTTAAATCTTAAGCTGAATTTTAAAATAATGCATATGTGAATTGCTTGCACTAGGAAGAAAGGGCAGTAAAATTCATGCCAAAATGTAGTATTTTTTGCAAAATCAGCGAATGGAGCAATTAGTTTGAATCTATTTTTAAAGCAATTATCATGAAATTTCCACCACATTAAAATAAATGAAGTAAATAAATTTATTGATTAATTTTCAAGATAAACACACAAACACAGAATATGTATATCATAATATATACGCATATAATAAATAATTGTTTTTTACAATTGTAATTAATCAGTCCCTCCCCCCCCTTGGATGTGTGTAAGAGAATCGCCAAACTGCGATGAAATAGTTGTACTAATACATAAACACCTAGAATTGTTTATCTGTTGACAATGTCAATTGATTACGATATCAGATAATTTTAATTGGTTGGCTGTTAAATGAACAGAGTAAACAAAGGAAAGATGCACATAGTGGACTCTTTAAAAAACCAAAAATTGTGAATAAAGAAACTGAACAAAATTCAATAGTTTCGACAAGAAAATTACTGAGGAGTCATGGATCAGATGAGAAGCAATTCATTTGATGGTAAATAAAAGATTAGTTTTTAGCATTATGAAACTGAAAATGTTCAGAAGCTAACATATAAAAAAAACATGAATATCTCTCAGAAGACTGATTTTCGAGAAATAAAGACCTTTCACAGGTAATCAATAGTAGAAGTTTATTTTTACTGTTAAAGATCTTTCATTATTGAAAAAGTTCACAATATATAAAATCAGGTAAAATAGTGATCTTAGGTTGGTGTAAATTTTAAACAGTCATAATAATAGAATTTGCAGAATTTGATCAAGCACAGTGTTGGGGTTGGTGATCAAGCATGGGGGTGGCCTTGTAAAATAGAACCAAGAGCCACAGTCCATAACAAACTGAAGAGAGGTGGCTGCTAGAGAGAAAGAAAGGGAGGAGGAACTCCTCCTTTTTTTTTCTTTTTTTATCAAGAAATAAAAATTAACCTAAATTCATATTGCAAGCATGGTGCGAGGCTTCCTTCTACAAGAGCACTTGGAAAATTTTACTTTTCAATAAGATTCTTCACTATCACACAAAGCTAAATGTATTCAAGAATGGTGTACGATACATTTTCCCAATTTTTTTTCTAGCAGAACAAGAATGGCCATCTTATTTTCCTCATTTAACCCTTACAGATAACAATATATAGTCTAGTTTAGAAAAAACGACATGCACTAAAATTTGAAAAAATCTGGCATTCCTAAAAAGTTTCTTATAAAAAGAATTTTAATATATGAAATGCAAGCCATGACAGGAAATTTTGTCACATTTTTATGTCTCCAAAGATAAACACTTCAAAAATTTTCAAATATGTTGCAGGTAATTAACTTTTTAAAAACATTACTATTTTTAAAGTATGGTTGAAGCATATTAAGAAGCATTCAAACTACAAACTATAATTTCTGCTCAAGTTATCTCTTGTCACCATGGATCAACACTAAACATACAGCAAAAAATATGGATATCGTATACATAATACAATGAAACATCTTTGCAGAAGTCATTGTGTTTCACAAAATTATTCTGATAGCAATTTGAATAAAAGAACTTACATTTTGTTATTAGACAGCAAATATTTCATTAAAAATACTTATACATTTACCAAATCCAGCACTTTTACAAGATCTTTTAAACCTACTTTAAATAAGATACATATGAAGCATCTCAGAATTTGTAGAAATATTAACTTTGAAATTCATAAAATATTTTATATCCATTCACACACTGGTACTTCTCTAAAATATAATAAAAGACATAAATTATTAATTGCATGTATAACAACTGAATAATTCTAATGATCTGAATTTACAGAAAGATGATATGATATAGCTGCATACAGTATCGGGAGTACAAATAAGTCTCTGCGTTTTTCATAAAAAATTGGGCATTTATTGTGAAAGAACAATACATCATGTTTTATTCAAAATACTGTCCATCACTAGCCACTACTTTTTCCCATCTTTCTGGCAGCGCCAGAAGAATGCTTCATCTTTTGAGGATATCCAAAAATCAACCTGAAAGAAATACTAATCAAAAGGGGCAATGTCTGTTGAATACAGAGGGAGGGGACAAGTTTCTCATTTGAGTGCTCACGAGTAGGTTTTGACTGGTGCTGCAACATGTGGATGAGTGTTATCATGCAGGAGAATAATTTTATCGTGTTTGGAGTAGTAGCAGGAGCATTTTTTCTTTGAGTTCTCAGCTCAGCCTCATCAACTGTGTTCGGTAGGGAGCCCCAGTCACACTTTTGTTTGATTTGGGTAACTCATAAAAAATGACACCAAACTCATCACACCATATACACAACATGATTTTTTTTCATGAATATTTGTCTTGGCTGTCGATGTTGGAACATAGTCAAGTGGTCCTCATGATTTCTTCTTCTTTGGGTTATTGTAGCAGATTAATTTTTCAACTCCAGTGACAACAATGCAAAAAACCTTTTCATTTATATCTACCAAGCAGCATTTCACGAGTAAAAATTCATCGTTCAACGTTTCTCAGCCTCAGTTCATATGGAACCCAACTGCCTTGCTTTTGAATCATTCCCAATGATTTTAAACGATTAGAAGTTACTTGTTGAGTCACTTTGAGTCACTCCTAAGGAGAGTGGAAGTTCTTGCATTTGATTCGAATCTTCATCCAACCATTTGGCAAGAAATGAACTTGGCTATCAGTGTATAGCAGGAAACGTTTCCACTTGACTACCACTGTCTTTCATAACTGAATTGGATCACATTTGTGAGGGCATCTTATATGCGAGCTTTTTTTTGGAGGGGGAAGCACTTTAAAAAATTAAGTTTTGCATTACATATATAATTTATATTTGAGCAAATAAAGTATTCCAAATGCTTAGTAAAAAATAAATTTGGATATATCTGTTTCATTGCCAAGATACTATATTGCTCTGTAATGGTCTCACTTGCCTACAGAAAATACATGACATACTTAGCATTCGATACATGTAGATTTTGAAAACTGAAACACTCATCAAGATTTCGTACTTTACCGAATACAAAATATCAAATCATTATTAGTGTAGCCTTGGCTACTAATGTTTAAAATTAATTTATGATTAGGAACAGCATGAATTATAAACAAATAGCTAAGTTTATTGCATTTTATTTTCCAGCTATCGAAATGCGACGCTACGAGCATCGTTTTGAAACCAAAACTTCGCAATCATGATCAGAACTAGAATAGTTGCCATTCAGCATAAGAAATTTAATATAAATGAACTACTTGTTGCCAGTCGCATAAAAGAATTAAATATGAATATTACAAAATATTAAGTTAATTTATAAAATAATTAAACACATGAACAAATATATGAAATAAAAAATAATTATTTCTCATGCAATAACTAGGCCACTACAATAGCACTTAAATTTCAACAGCAATTAATAATATAATCATTACCTAGGGATTCAACAAGTGGGAAAAACTGCAGCCTTTTCTTCAGTTTCAAAATGCTTCTTAAATCTTTATATGTACATCCTCTCCATACACTAACAACATCTCGCACCATGATATCAGCCACATAAACATTATGAGCTCTAGAAGATAAATAATTATATGTGTTGCACAATATTTTTAGTAAGTATCAGACAACAAGCAAGTCAAAAGTATCAATCATCATTATTCATCATTAACACATCACACAACAAATATTATTAAAATGTGATAACAGAAATAATTTAAAATTTCTCAAGCCACATCATTTGCTTTTGCTTCAGTAAATAAATAAATACGATTCTGAAGAAATTTACTACATTTTTCTATTTTACATCAGTTCCATTCTTTATGATTTTCTAAATCTATATGAATTCATTTCCCTCACATATGAACTTAGAATTAATGAAATTTCAACTAAATTTAAAGCTATATTCCCCATAAATCATATATCTTGGAAGTATTCTTTAATTTTTGCCTTAGATTAAGGCACAAAAATGCTTTTTAGAATATCAAATACACATCCTCAAAATAAAAGGCATTAAAATTAATTAAAAATTCATGGTGTTAAAAGCTATGTCCAAATTTATTGTTTAACCACTGATAGCATAGACTTAAATGTGACTATGCATGCAGAATTTGTATTGCTTTATATCAAAACTAGAAGTGATTTGAGTGGTAAGCGGGTTTTTTTTTTTTTTTTTTTTTTTTAAATATTTTTAACAAATTGGAATATTACAGAAAGATCACAGAAGCAAAAGATATGCAATTGATGCTATTCAAACATTCTTTGCTTCCAATTTACCTAGAATGCATATTTTTTCTCATTAATTTGGGCAGTTTAAATGTTTGGACAAAATATCAATCAAGGTTGTACTATACATGTTATCAATCAGTACTAAATTTATGGCTGTAAGGATGACTTAATTATATAATTAACATCATCAACATATAATAAAATAATGAATGTGAATCAATGTTTCCCATTCCCTAGAAATAAAATCGGCAATAGATTGAGAAAAATTATGATCCAAGTAGAGAACGAAAAAACAACAAAACAAAAAAACTTACTCAGATGAAGTGGACACTATGGGTGGCAAATATGGTAATTTTTTAATTTGAATTATGCTGTCATATATTGATGGCTGCAGAGCTTGAGAAATGCCATTAGCTATTAAAACAGCAAGCTGAAAAAAAAAAAAAAAAAAAAAAATGTAAAATATACTAAATTACAATACTACAATCTCATAATAATTATAGTACAGTAATTTAAACATAATGATATACAGTGTCTCACAAAAGTCATGGGACACTTGTGTTTTACAAAAGGAACGTGTAAAAAGTAAAAAACGTGTAAAAATTTTTGTGGGGTGTTTCATACTAAATTTAGTAAAATTACATAACATACATTTTCTAAAATATTAAAATTAATTAATAAAAAATACAATTTTAGAATGGAGCAAAAAAATGGCTCACATAAGTGGACACTTACTTTTCCATCAAATATTTATCCAAAAAATTTACTTTTAAAAGGTTTAATATTGGTGTATTCCTTTACTTTTAAAAAATTATTTAATCTTCTTGGGATGGATTTGACTAATTTTTTTTTTTTTTGTGATTTCTGAGGATTTTACCCCATTCTTCCGAAAACCGATTAATTGTTCTTCTGAAGAAATGGTGTATTGAGAATTTTGATTCCAATTCTTGCCAAATATTCTCTATGGGATTTAGTCTGGAGATTTGTGGTGGTGTTTTATTTTCAGGTAGTTGCAACCAAGTCTAACGTTCAAGCTTTGCTTGCGGTCATTGTCTGGTATATTAAAATCGTTAAATCAATTTTCGTGCCTTGATATTCAATTTGATTAAAATTCAATATATGTATTGTCCATTATACGTCAATAAAAACAGATGCAACTCCAGCAACGACATACCCCCAACCATCTCCTCCTCACCATGTTTATTGCACCAAACTGTTTGCGTCTTCCCGAATTTTCTAAAATTCTCCGTAGAACCAAATAATTAGTTTGTCTTGTAAATATAATAAGTTACAGAATAGACTAATAAGTAATCAACTTCAAGCCGGATTAATGAAAAGCTCCGGAAATAAACACGTCCTTGCCAAAAAAGAGGAATCCTGTTTTACTTGTAAAAAATGTGCCAAATGAAATACCCAATGAAGATCTTCTGAAAGTGATTTTTGAACAAAATCCCGAAGTTGTTGAATCTGATGAAAACAGAAGTATATGTAGAGTTCGATTTACTTTAAAAACCTTCCAGTTCACGAGGCACGTTGTGATTGAAACGCACCCCATGGTTCGTAAACGTATTCTGAATCAAGCCAGGTTGAAAATTAATTGGAGTATATATGTGAAATTGACGATTTTATTATCATCAATAGATGTTTTAAGTGTCTTGGGTACAACCATCGTGCTGATGAATGTCGTGAGCGAACAGCCTGTTTTAACTGTTCTGGAGAACACAAGGCAAAGGATTGTTCGAATAGGAATGCTGTAGCTTGTATAAATTGCATCCGCTTCAATCATAAAACAAATAACAGCTATAAAAAAGTGAATGTTAATCACAAGCCCTTTTCAGAATGCTGTCCTAGTCATGAATTTATGAGAAAGAACATTCAATCTCGAATTGATTATGGCTAGATTGGCTAGACGCGTTCTAAAGTGTGTGCAGTTAAATCTTCATAAATCCAAATCTGCGACACAACAGCTAATTTTAAATATGGAAGCTGATGATATATTGACTGTGCTTTGGTTCAGGAACCTCATTATTACAAGAATTTTCTTCCAGGATATCCTGGCACTTATAGACTTTATTGTGATCCTAATTCTGACAATGTAAAGGCGGCAATCATTATTCGATCACGTGATCTATCAACATTTCTTGATTATAAAAATACGGATTATAATATGGTCACCTTGGATATTACTGTTGGCTCAACTGTGCTCACTCTTTTTTCATATACTATTTGAACCCTCAAGAAACATTGACTTAGATCTTCATAAAATTAGTCAAGTCTTTATGTCCAAAAATCTTAATCGACTGGTTTGGTGTATGGACTCTAATGGCAAATCTGAATTATGGTTTAGTCCCTATTCAGACTCTCGTGGAGATAAACTGAGTGAATTTATTTCTGCCAACAACCTATTTGTTATTAATGAAGATTATGGACCTACGTTTCAGGCAACTCAGGGTTTCTAGTTATATTGATGTTACTGTTATTGGTTCAGATCTTCTCCAGGATGTTTCGAGTTGGCGGCTGTCTGAAAAAGAATCCCTTTCTGATCACATGATGATTGAATTTGAATTTTGTCTCTCTACGTTCTTACGAGACACCTCAAATGTTCCTTTTAAAATCTTCAATACAGGGAAAGCAAATTGGGATCGTTTTCGAAAATTTTGTTCTTCTCGCATCACCCGTTTCATTGATATTCTAAACGACTGTACTGACGGTTCTCGCCTAAATACTCTTGTTGAGAATTTTAGTTCTGTTCTTCTCCAGGCATCTCAAATTTCCATACCTGTTAGGAATCATGGTAAGCACAATGTTCCTTGGTGGTCTTTTTTGTATGAGAAAGAGGCTTAATGCCTCTAGGCGTAGATTTCAGCATTGTAAAAATCCGCCTCTTAGAGAACTTTATAAAAGTAAATATCTTGAATATAGAAAAGTTTACAATCTAAAGCTTGCCGATGCTAAATCTCAGTCTTGGAAAACATTTCTTTCGACCATTGATGTTCACAATGTATGGAAAATGATATACACGTATGGAGTTGGTTAAAAGAGATTTCATGAAAAAAATTGAAATAACTGGTATTTGTCTTTCCACTGGAGAGACAACCAACTCTTTAGAAGAGACAATTACTGCTGTGCTTCAGAAATCTTTCCCCTCGGATCTAGAGGAAACTGATGATGATTTGCATGAGGAATACCGTCAAGCTGCGCGTACTGTTTATTCTTCTTTTGTAGATTCTATGTTTACTTGTGATGAAGTTAATACAGTTATTTCTATGCTGGAACCAAATAAATCACCTGGTCCTGACTCTATTTCGAATGAGATTATTAAACAGTTTCATTTAATGTTTCCTCGATTTCTCCATAAACTTTTTAACGTTTGCCTAAATGTTGGCATTTTCCCACGTGTTTGGAAACATGCTCAAGTAATTCTTATTCCTAAAGGAAATGAGTCTAGGATTCCTCACCTAGATAACCTTAGATGTATAAGCTTACTTCCTGTTTTGGGTAAGTGCTTGGAAAAACTTTTTATTAACAGAATTTGCTGGTATCTCCGTCATGGAGACCTTCTTTCTGGTAATCAGTATGGTTTTACACCTCAAAAAAGTTCTGAAGACGCTCTTTTACGTTTGAATGAAATTGTTCAGAGAGGAAAAAAGAAAAACTTGCACACTATTTTGGTCTTTTTGGATATTAAAGGCGCCTTCGACTATGCGTGGTGGCCTTGTATTCTCAATCTGCTAAAAAAAGTAGAACTTCCAATGAATATTTTTTCACTTGCTGCTGATTTTTTAAATGATCGGGTGGCCAAATTGCAATTGGGCTCGGCTTCTGCAATCCGTCACCTTGAAAGGGGTTGCCCTCAAGGTTCTGTTTCAGGACCTACGTTTTGGAATATTATTATTAATGATCTCCTATTAAAACTGGAAAATCTTGCTTGTTGTGATACTATAGCCTTTGCAGATGATGTTTTGTTTTGCTTCCAGAGTAGGGACCTTTCTGCTACTTTTTTACAGGCACAAGAGACTTTAAATTTCGCCTCCAACTGGTCAAAAGGTTTTAAATTAGATTTTAATTCTGATAAAACCAGGGTTATGATTATTGAAAAGCGAAACATCTGTTATGATGCATTTCAGTTATCTCTCGATGGCACCCCTTTGACTGTGGTAAAGCAAATGAAATACCTTGGGATTTTTCTTGACTGTAAATTTTCTTGGAAACAACACTTAACTTATGTATCAGAGAAATGTGATAGATTACAGCGTGGATTAAGTTGTATTGCACGTAACACATATGGTATTAATTACAACGTTCATTCGCTCATCTATAAACAAGGAATTGCACCCTTCATTATGTATGGCTTTAGAGTCTGGGGTATATCGCTCAAGAAGAAGATAAATTATAGATATTTACGACGCGTTCAAAGACGGATACTTCTGCGGGTCATATGTGGATATCATACCGTAAGCTATGACTCTGTTTATGCAATTTCTGGCTTTCCTCCAATTGACATTGCCATTCTTCATTCTATTGCTCATAAGGAAAATATTTCTGCTTCTACTGTCTCTCAGCTTGGCTGTATTTTACCTCTATCTGATCTCCCTCATCCTTCAGAAAGAAATGCTATTAATTTTATTCAGTTTAGCAATAAAATTGTGGGTGATTCGCCTGTAACTTGCTATACTGATGGCAGCAAAATTGATGGCAAGGTTGGTCTCCCATTTGTTGTCTTCAAAAATGGTCTTGAATTTGAGCACTTTCAATTTAGAATCAGAGATGAATGTACCGTTTTCATAGCTGAACTTTTGTGCATAAACTTCGCCATCAAATGGGTCTCTAAACAAAATAGTGCTGTTTCAGACTATCTCATTTGTACTGATTCCCTTTCATCCTTGGAGATCTTAAAATGTATTTCTTCTTCTAATAATATCATTATCGAGATTCAAAAAGAATTGAAGAATCTAAAGGATAAAAATATTTCGGTTTCATTTTCATTTGTCCGTGGTCATACAGGTGTTGTTGGGAACGAACGAGCCGATTTCCTTGCTAAGACTGCGACTAAGCGGGAAATTGACACTTTTGTCAATATCCCTAATTCCTTCTATAAGAAGGTCATGTATGAAAGCATTGTGGCATGTATGAAAGCAATTATCGAACGATAATTCGCTTTATTCCGTTGGATAGTTTTGATGGTCGGCCAGGTCTTCTTTCATTATGAATCATATGATTCTTTTTATATCCGTTAATGATATTGAAAACTGTTGAATGACTCAAGTTAACTGTTTCAGCAGTTTTTCTTATAGATTTTCCACGTTCAATATACAAATTAATAACTTATTTTTGAACTTCAGGCAAAGTTTCTTTTCGTTTAGCATTCATGGCTGCACAGAGCTAAAAAATGCAAAAATTCCAAAACAAGCTGGACAGAAATACTGCAGA